GGGATAGGAGGTTATATTGTCAACTTATACAGAGGGTTGTATAATTCAGTTATATTATTATCTTCCGGTGAGTCAGAGGTAAGTTCATGGACTTACAATGCTAAAATCTGGGGTTTGATTCTCCACACTGGAAAGAGTGCAGATAGTCCGTTGCAGGCAAAAAAATACTCTTAACCTAGTTTTATGGGCTACATATACTATTTTTAATAAGATCACATAATTATAAAACTTTGATACGATGTTGTCATTTAACATTTACCTTGCCTATTCATTTTACATTTAATTAAGTTTTATTCTAACTTCAGTCATTTTCCTGTTAGTGAGACCATAGAGGTGACCCTTATCTTTACCAGAAAGAATGAGATAATAATTTTCATTTGAATAAAGATTATTTTGGTTTTAATCTTACCTACTATATAAATAGTAATGAGAACAATGGAGGTGAAGCTTTTCTAGTGACTCAAAATAAATTTCAATGCTAGAAGTCAAGTCAAAGGCATGTGTTGAGTGTGTCATTACCCATCATGTTCCACATTTTTTTTTATTTCACTTGCTTCATCATAGAAAAAGTGCTTTCCCAATTATATGTGCTTCCAAACATTGAATGCATTTTGAGTTCAAAGTTTCATGATTTTGGGAAATGCTTTCTGGAAACAAACATCTAGAAACTATCACGACTCTCATTTTTCTTTGTTAATAAAAAGGGTCAGATTACAGCTCACATAATTTCAGCTGAAAATCTTATGGCTGCGTCTCAACAATTATTTACAATGGGTTGCTAAGCAGCTCAAGACTTGGCTTTAATGTGAGAAGTTCTCAAATGTTTCTTCAAACTCAATTTTTTCTGCAAAGGTCAAAAAGTATGCTGTGCTATCATCTGCCAACAATTTACAGCAAGAAGAGAAATGGTTAAAATAATTTTTCTTGAGACACAAGAAATGCTGAAACACTTCCCTGCACTTAGCCATTTGATATTCGAGTGTAATGGCAAATCACAAAATTCTGCATTCACTTCTAAAAATATATTTCCTATGTCTTTGGGATTTGTTACTGCCTCTTATGATGTTTATTATGCTGACAATACTACCCATTACATCATTCCTCTTCAAAATCTTCCCACATAATGCTTCCTGGTTTTCTGGTGTATAATGCAGTGAACAGTGATAATATCCACTCCATTTTTCTTAAGCATACAGACTAATCCCACTTTATTGCCAGTCATTGCTTTTCCACCATTAGTCACAGTGCAGGAACAATTCTGAAACCCACCATATTCATTAATAACATAGACAAGTGCTGTTTAAATGTCAGATCTTTTTGTACTGCTATCCAAATGTTGCATCCTCACATTCTTTGTGTATTGAGGAATCTTCATCAATAGTAAGGATAAAAATCTGCATTTGAGAAATGTCACTGATATCTGTGCTTTCATCTAAGGCTACTGAAAAGTATTTACATTTCTGAACAATAAATTTTAGTTTGTATGAAACATGTTCATTTATTTCACTAACATTCCTTGCCAAAGTATGATGAGATGATACACTTTCAAAATTTCCAGCCATTTTATCAAGTGCATGTGCCATTCTCACTGCACAATGTTTTGCAAATTTCCCATCTTTAAATGATATTTTTTATCTTTCACTAGCATCAGAGAGACCTAGTATGATACAGTAAGACTTGCAATTTGAGGTTTTATTTACTTAGTTAAAACACATTTTTGTTTCTTATGCTTCCCTTTCAAGTCATTCAAAATTTTTTCTGCAGTTGTTGTTAAAGAAAAAACATTTCTCATCTTTCTTAAGATAAATTTCCCAACAATTTTTTTTCTTGAGGTGCCTGTCGTTGGACCACCCTGACTCAATGCATAGCTTTACACTAAACAAACAAATTTTAATACTGTTATCTTAATTTTGTCATTGGGCACTTGGTTGGATGTATTTTCTGATTAAGATCTATAGTCTAAAATTTAGATTTTCTAGCTTTCCAACTGGTATTGTGTGGTTACTATTACTACAACCAGCTGTTGATGGGTCTATTTTAGATGTCATTTAAGCATTCAGACTTATTCTTCATTATCACTGATCTTCAGTAGTGTGTATTACAGTTTTTCTCTAGCATCTTGAAGTTAACTGGAGATTGGAAATCCCTAATGGAGGCTATTGTACCAGTTAACATCTAACACTTACTACTTTCCAAATAGCCTAACTTTGATTTTTGTCTTGCATAATGTAAGCTTAATATTTATTTGGTAATTTTCATCATTGGTTTGTGGTGCTGGTACTTTGTCCAGTTACAGATTATACAGACACTTTATTGTCTTTTTTAAACTGATATTTACATATGTTATTCATTTTTAAAGAAATTCTGATGAGTAAATTGGCTTTACAGTTAAGAAGAATTTGAAGGAATTAACTTGCAAGCAGTGACAACTCGATAAAAGAAAGGCATAGATCATCAAGGTGGCTGGATAATGCTGCAATTGTGTGGTAAAATGAACGTAAATGCGAGTAAACTAACATTACTCACATTTCATTTGTGGAATTTGGTGTTTATCACTCTCCATTTAAGGTTTTTCACATTTTTATGCCACTACAGTAGTCCAGCATTGAAAGGATTGTCTTATGTCAAAGAATGACCCAGGCTGGACAGGAATAACAATATAAACTACACTTAGCTTTGGCTCTATTAACAGAAAATATAAACATAACTATAAGAAAAATGATAAAACATCAACATAAACAGTTGATTTTCCTCCTTAGATAAGTCTATGGTCTGTTTTCTGACTGACATTACAGAAGACTTGAACTGAACTGAAATAAAACTACACTAAGGTAGAGACACAGAGCATAAAGACATATAAAGGACACTTCAATAATTTCCAGAAATCACATAAAGGTGAATTTGAAAATATTGACCATATTCACATCAGAAAGTCAGGTTAACAACTTTAGAAGGTCAACTTCTAAGTTGCTATGACTGGTTGATTACAACACACACTAGCGATACCTGGATAATGCCAGTATGTTAAAGTTCCTGTTAAAAGTTGCCAAGAAAAGATTTGTAAGGTCAACTGAGGTCTAGAAATAAGCCTAAATTTTGAATAACATAGAAATAAATGAACAGAATGGTAGTTTTGATGTATGTATGTGTGTGAGTCTATATACATATAAATAGATTACAAACTATTGATTATGTTAATTGTTAATAAGCAATTAAATCAGCACTATAAAACAATAATGAATTAAATTTCGTACTACCTCCATCGGTCCAGGTTGTCAACTTCTTGTCATAACGGATAATGCCTGTGGCAGTAACACCCAAATGTGTTGGGGATATCCATATATCACACAAAATCCAAATTCCAATGTTAATCTAGTCAGCTGTCATGGAAAATCAAATAAGGGTATGAAGCTGAGTGCTTACACCCACAACATCTCGATCCTTTCACTGTCTATAGTCAGTTGTGGGAAGGCAGTTACCCTTAAATTTCTTGAAGTAGAAATGAAATCACCCTAACATTTCTTCTAATTAAACTCCCAACCTCCACCCTTACAAAAACATATTACATAGAACTATAAAATATTGAAAAGAACTTAAAAACACTACAAGATATTAAATAGAACTAGACTTACAATATGGGGACGACTCTTGCTCCAGCTGATTCTATATATTTTACGTATGATGCAACAATGTAACTGTTATCTTTCTTACTGAATATTTCATATGCATCCTGGGCAAGGATTCCTGCGAGAAAATAGAAATAACAAATTTGGATTAAACTTGAAAGTAGTTTTAAAATTCTGTAAATATGCAAATGTAGATTAATTCTTCAGCTGTGGTTCATATTGTGGTTTTTCATTAAGGCCCTAACCTCCTTTTAGCAGCTTCTAGTACAGTAATTTTGGTAGGGAAAATGTTCTAAAAAATTTACATAATTTTATCAAGCCTTTTGTTAATTGGCACAGGTTGGCCCTGCAGTGATGTTCTGGATTTCGAAGGAGGCGAGCCAGGTTTGAATCCATGCAATACCACAAAACCCTTGATCCTAGTGTTGTAAGTACAAAAACTTACCATAATTTTCAGTAAATAATAATAGGCTCATGAGTTTCAAATGAAAACATCATCTACTACAGAAAATGGAATGGGAGAACTTACTCGGCCTTCATCTATCATGACTACTACTGTTCTATATGTTACTGAATGACCTTCCTGGAATATTCCAGCCATAACACTACCAAATATAGTCCCAGAATTTAGCTGGCCAGTTCAACATCAGCCAATAAAGAAACCAATGTTCTATGATGGCAAAGTACCATAGGAGTCATACCAGGCTCAATTTGAGATATTTTCCAAAATGAATGGGCAGAACAATAAGCCATCCATCTTACTGCCCATCAGAAAGGACCAGCTTTGACAACATGAAGTAACCTTCCAGTTGAGAATTGTAACAATTATCAAGCATTAGTAGTAGCCTTATCCAAGATGTTTGTAATATTACACCAAAGTATCCAGAACAAAGTTCTCAAACAGGGAACTAACAAAAGAAGAGACCATACCTGACCTTGCAGAAGATTTGGAAAGCCTTGACCAATTATCTTACCTGAAATGGGTGCTCCTTAGGGGATGATGGATTCTTGACACGTGATCAGATCAATTTATAGATACGACAGCAGATGAGGATATGAGAATTAGGCTGAAGCAGAGTAGGAGTACATCCTTAAAGGAAAATCTTCAATCAGTGATGGAACTAGAATTCATTAAAGTTGCTAATAAATAACTAAAGACACAATTCCAAAGTCATGAGATCAACTGATCAGGTAGTATTAAAATATCAACTCCCCCTAACAATAGTTTAAAAGAAATAAAATAATTAATCAGACAGATAGTTGCAAAGAATAGAAGAATCAAACCACAAGAAAATAGGTTTTTCAAGTGCAATCTGAAATGATATATTGCAAGGAACTGTTGATCAAAGCCAGTATGGAATAAGAACTCCCAGAAGATACTGGAAAGAAGTAACTGCTACAGTAGTGGGAAACCTGGTCATTACAGCCAAGACTAAGAAATTAACAGCTGTTAGTAACTTAGAGAGACAGGACCCATCCAGAAATAAAGAGCTAGATATAAAAAAACAATTAGTTTTGATTAATGAGGTGAAGTTCAGTTGGAAGTATTCCATCTATCACAAATAAGGAAAGGATTTCATTATTTTAGAAAAATTGTCCACAAGTCAATGGGGTAATTAATTGAAAACTTTGTAGTATGCTGATTGACACTAGTTCCACAGCTACAATTATTTGTCCCAATTTTTTTTAATGTAAGATGAGAAATTATCCCCAGAGACAAAGAAGGTACTGGTGTGAACAGTAAGTGGACATAAAGTTCCAGCAAAAAAGAAGCTAGAAATTACACTTACTATAGAAATTATCTCTGTACCTCATGATGTGTGGGAATTAACATTGATGAACAGTGCATTTTGGGAACTGGCACCAAAAAGAGACATGGATGCAAGGTTAGGCTAGCTTCAACTTCATAGCCTATGACCAGGAAATCCTTTTCCACTGCATGACAATAACTACATCGGTGGTCGAATATTTTGTGGAAACATTGATGGTGGCCATCTAGTGACAGGGACAAAGTAGAACCAAATACTCCATTATGTCTTGGATCGGAAAAATAAAGATTTTTGTTCAAGATTTTATCCAGAAAAGTTGTAAAATATGACAAAACTGTATTCCATTGAGATGACATGAAATGAATAAACATAAGAGAGTACAAATTTCAAAATAGGTGGTCAGAGAAGAGGTGATCTAAGCCAAAGGTCATCCACCATAATCACCTTGGGAAATGAGTCAGTCAGAGAACAACCAAGTGGGTAACTCCAGAGAAGAACTTGTTAGTGGGAACTCAGACTGCTGAGGAACCAAGTTTCTGTCAAAAATACATCCAGAAGATCTTTAACTTGTAGCCACCAGTGATTCACCCAACCAACTACTCAGGAAGAATTCTCTTAGCAACAGGACAAGACTCCATCCAATCTGCATACCATGGAACTTAAAAAAGAAAACCACCAAAAATAGTTGGTGAATAAACAATTATGGTAATATTTTATTTTTTAGCATTAGTATCATTCAGAGGGCTTCACAATTAAGGAAGGAACAGTGTTATAAAGTATGTTTATAATGTTGGAATTTAGAAAACTCTAAGCATGTGAAATAGTGTTCTGGCATACTCAAAGCCAGATTATAAATATGAGATAGCATGAACTGTGGAAAATGATTTCAGATGGAGAGTAAACCAGTCAGTTTGTTAGCTATCTTGGTTACTTTGTTCAAGTAAGTTGGTTTGTTTTACATTAATTAAAGTCATTTGTAAAAAAGGCCTACAGGAACTTACAGCAGTGTAAAAAGAGTTCAAATTTGAAGAAATATTAAAGTAGGATATATTATATACATATAATACTCAAATATCTGTCTGCATATCACACTCTGCATCTCCTGAACAGTGTATCATAAAACAAAATTATATATCAAAATGCTTTTTTTAGGAGTATATAGAGGCCAAATTCTTTACAGTAGGCATCTGTGACTTGTTGGTGATAAAGTTCAATAATAAATGGACAACACACAATCCACTTGTTTTAAAATAATATGTATTTAAAACAAGTCAAACATATGTAAAAAAAATGTGTTCCAATATTGTCTACCATAGTTGAATACAGAGCTTTAAATAATTTTCTTTTTTTGTCAAAAGGCCACACAGGCTGGTTCAATTGCTTTAGAACCCAATCAACAAGATCAATTATTCTTCTACATCTCTGTTCTTACAAACTGTGATACTTTCACTTTAGGAATTTTCTGTTATGGCTAAACTTCAATCTAACTTCACTTTTACTTTCACTAACTTCCCTTCTTGCTCTTTCTACTTGCATGTATTTATTACATGCAACAGAAAAATCTATAAATATCTAGCCCTCCAGTAACATTATATGTAACGAGAAAAGCTTAGAAACTTCAAGTCACATGAAATCAACAATATTACAAAAGCCTACTACAACAGTTAAACTACATACATAACATACAACTTGTACAGTTACATAAACGAAACTTGTGATAACTACTGCTTTTAAAATAATTAACTTTTAGCAATTTTTTCTTACTATATACAAGATTGTTCTCAGTTCATATACGAAGTCTCCTCATATGGTCTGCACCAACATTTGCAGTTCCCTTGTTGATCTCTCTTTGCATGTTGTAGTCTTTGTACATCTCAGATCTACCCAATGGGCATAGGCCCAGTAGGTCTTCATCTTCTGTGACAAAGTCACTGTTTTCTGATTCTACATCTATGATAACCATACCTGCCATGTCAATCTGTGCCTCGATAGCTGCACCTGTTTGGTCTTCTTCCCTCTGGAAGTAACTCATCAATAGATTGGTGTGGTTTTCCCGTCAACTTTCACTTTCTAGTCTATTCCGTTGACCACTTCTGCACCTTAAAAGGTCCTTTCCACTGTAGGGTGAGTTTGTTGTTGGCTGTAGATAGCAGAACTAAGACCTTCTGTCCGACCTTGAAATATCGATCATTGGCCTTCTTATCATTAAAATGCTTTTGACTGCCTTTGATGTGTTTAACTTTTCCAGTAGAACAGCTCTGATAGATCTGGTATAGTACTCCTTTCCAGTTCTCTATTTTGCAAGTCTCTTTCTCCTTTGTCTTATGCTCAATTTCCTCTTGGGCACTGTCCAAAAGTTTCTGCAGTGATGGGGTTTTTCTTCTGTGTTTAATTCAGTTCCTGTAGACCTACATTTGGGATGTCACCTTTTGAGACTTGCAGAGACTTGATGCCTTGCTTGCTTTTCTTTTTTTGAGCTCTTATGATGACTGTAGATGCCTTATCAGTCTCCTTTCTGTTTTCCTTCAAACTTCCACTACCTGGTATGTTTCCAATCACCAAGTCATAGATTGCCTTTATACACATAGCTTCAAGGTATCCTATCTAGTATGGAGTGTCCACCTGTATTCTTGGTATGGGAAACTTTCTCACTGTCCCATCAATCAGCACAAATAAGACATACCTTGCCCATCATCTGATTGTCAGATACTAGACTGGATCTCACTACTGCACCCAGTGTCTCATAGTACCTTCACTTTCTTGTCCCTGACATAGCCATCACCTACTGGCATGTTGTATTTTGTTGGTACCTCCCAATGTTTGTCATATGCTCTGATAACTACCAGCACTAATGATCCATTTGCTAATTTGACATGATGATCAGTTGTGCACTGTTTAATTATGGAGATAGCACTTTCTTCTTGTGGTGAATCTGATGAGTTGTCTTGTTTCTGCTTCTTCTGGCAGCAGCATCCACGGTGATAGTCACTCTTTTGTTGTTTCTTGCCAACACCATCTATGTAGGTAGTTCCAGCTGCTTTATGTTGATATTTCTGCTGTCACTTGTTGGTGATGGGCTTGCACTCCTTTGCAGTGTGCCCTATTTTATAACAAATATGGCATCTCTTCACTCTTTTGTCAATTGAGTTCTTTGGGGGGGGGATCCTGTTTTAGCTCAGTCACCCCTGGTTTCAACTGTAACTGGTTTTTCTTGGACTTGCCAGTTATACTTCCTCCATGGGCTTCCATACATTGTTCTGCTAGCTTGATCATCTCGTCCATGTCTTTTGGTGCTCTCTCCTTTAGGAACAATAGATCTGCCAGTCCCTCAAAACTCTTTTCACACTTGGCCATTTTAGTCTATCTTGTAAAGTATCTCCATAGATGTGTCACAAATTGAAATACAGTTTCTCTAGTGTCAGGTTTGACTTCTCTGAAATTCCAATGAAAGCTTTCCTCTGTAAGTTCATAACCTTTCAACAAAGCCACTTTTAACTTGTAATAGTCCATGGCATCTTCTGACATCAAGTCTGCATACACTTCTAGGCCATTTCCTGTGAGAAATGGGCTGAGATAGACAGCCCAGTTGCCTTTGTCCCACTTCTGACTTTGGGCAAATCTTTCATATCTCTCTACAAAAGCATCCATATCATCTTTCTGTTCATCAAATTTGGGCAGCTTGGGTTGACTGGCACTGACTCCATTGTCATTCCTGGGTCCTTCATCTTTCTTGACAATCTCAATTTGTGCTCTTATTCTTTCTATTTCCAATCTCTCCTTTTCTTTTTCTTCTTTCTCAATTTGTATTCTTATTCTCTCTATTTCCAGTCTGTCCTCTCTTTACTTTTCTTCCTTCTCAATTTGTGCTCTTATTATCTCTCTCCCTATTTCCAATCTCTCCTTTTCTTTTTCTTCTTTCTCAATTTGTATTCTTATTCTCTCTATTTCCAGTCTGTCCTCTCTTTACTTTTCTTCCTTCTCAATTTGTGCTCTTATTATCTCTCTCCCTATTTCCTTTCTCTCCTTTTCTTATTTCTTCCTCTCTTCTCTGCCTGTGCTCTTATCACTCTAATTCTTGTTTTTGTTTAACAAACTCTAGTAGATCACTATCTTTTAGCCCAAGTCATTCACCCCTCTCTATCCATTTATCAAAATCAGTTGACATGGTTATATATCGTGATTGTAATCTCTACACTATTTTCACTACAACTACAATTGTGCATATATATATACATAGAGATTAAAATAAACTAGGGTGGACACACATCCTGTTTTGGTGTCATTTCCAGATGCCATTTTATGTAGGAAAACATTGATTTTCGTGTATTTTGAAAAAAATCTTGCCTCTGATGTTACATAAGCTGTTTATTTTCATGTGAGCCATGGTTTTTTAACTATTAAAATAAAACTATAACTAAGAACTAATCATAAGAAAATTTAAGTGCAATTTATGCAGATATTATTAGTTGATATTAGAGAATTTGTCCATTATCGTCCAGTCAGCATGATCCAGATTACAGTGAAGTCACACCAATACCATATCGAATATGAAGTCATCCCAGTCAGACTTAACAATTGAAAATATTTCCTTATATTTATCATGAATATTATCACTGAAAATACTTATGTTTATAGGAAAGTAGTGTATCAATGAATAGGTCTATGGACATAATATTTATTGACTTATGTTGCCTCTTAATGGTTACAGGTCAGAATGCCAACTGAATGTGCCCTTGCCATATGTCGCAATGTTTTGGCAAAGGGAATAGATTATCCATTCACTGGTATGACTATATTATATATTATATTTGTTTCATATGAAGATTAACAAAAATGTAAATAAATCTACCTTTTTTAGCTGGATACATGTGAAAGAGAGAGAAATCCAAAATCACCCACATTGGACTTTCTATCATAATTGTTTTACTAAGTTCCCCAACAAATCGTGAAAGAAGGAAATATTGGACTTTTCTCATGAAAAGATATCAGAGTTGGAAGCCTAAAGATTGGGACTTGGTTTGCAGTGCCAACTTTACACGTGTTGATTTTGACATGATTGGTCAAGCAACTTGGCTACACGATGGTGTTGAACCATCAATCTTCAACTTGCTACAGCATTTACAAAAGGTAATGTATGTGAGATAAGCATAAAGAAAGTAACTTTAATTATTTCCACCTCAGTTTGTGGCAGTGTGTGATCAACATAACATGCATCTTATTTTGAGGATCCTAAGTGAGATAAAGTTAATTTATCCTTTGGAAAATCTTTTAAGTGTTTTAAAATGAAATGGTACATTCAACAAATGCAATATATTTGAAATTAAGATCATTAACTTTATATTGTTGTTATCTGTTACAGACAGCAGAAATCTGGACAACAGCATACAAGAACAAAGGTCATGACAGTTTTATCTTTTAAATAGTGGGTGGTATTTAGATTACCCTGAAAGGTCGAACCCAAGGTTGTGCACACAATCCAGCAGTTGCCTTCAATTCACTTAGCTGGTAAGCTACAGAGCCCTTGGTCCCCTTTTTAAATAATTTCAAGGAATCCTGTGGGTGAAGCCAAACCATAGACTGTTTGACCAACTATCCCAATCAGATGCCCCTACAGTTTGCCTCTGTGGTTAACTGAATAACATTAGTGGCTCTTGAAGAAAAAATGTTCAAAGTGAGGCAAGGCCAAGAGTTCATTCGCTGCTTAAGGTAGGTGTAATTCTTCATCCTGATTCCTAAACTTACAAAAATCTGTCACAGAATATGGTTAGATGATAGGTGTAAAATGGAGAAATAAATCAAATTAGGTGGTACACAATCTCAAACCTGAAGCTGGATTGGAGGAAGGGGGGTAGAGGAGTTCATGAAAAATGTTAGTGAGCAGGGACGGAGGAGGATGGGGTGCAAAAGTTGATGAGTTAGGGGAGGAGAAGCTAGAAGCTTAAATGTTGACAGTTTGTTGTTTACATTGCTGACCTAGAAACGTTTCCCTATGTAAGATGGCGGGTGGCTGTTTGGGACATTCCCAATTTGTCCACTATTTTGATCCCTATGGATATATAGGCCTACTTCTAATATACAATCCTGGCTAGCTCACCTAATGTAAGGTTTTTATAAGACTGTATTCTTTACTAAGAGTACATTACAAGAAAATTATTAATTTTTTTTGCAATTCTTAAAATTTCATATCATTATCAAAATTGATCAGTTAGTCTTCGTATGTGCTAAACATTCACTTTAAGGAAATTGGGAGGGAATTTCATGAAAAAACAGAACTTCCTCTGTCAACTGATTGGAAGAAACATTTCAAAGATACGAACATACAGAAAATAATGCATATAAAAGGAGGAATGTGTTTGAGTATATATATTTGTTGTTTGGTTCTATTTGAATATCTCCCCTTTGACTCTTTTATAGAAATGACAATTGTCAAAAAGTGCTCTCTTTGGTAACAGTCTTGTCTTGCACTCATTAAAATGACAAGGAATGGTGACATCCAGCAAAAAATATCTCCACAGTTACTTAGCAAACATGAATTCTCTATTGGGCTGGATGCACCCATTGCATCGAATACCCAAATATTTTTGCTAACAATGCACTGTAGTCAGTCTCCTTTGCTTAAAAATAAATGCAATACAATTTGCCTTATTAAATTAACACCTGGAATGACAAAATGTAGATGTACACACCCCCTAGACATTTATATTACATATACACTATGATCCAAGGCATTAGATTGACTGCACATTTTTCATTTATTCATCATATTTTTTTTAGAGCACAGTGTAGATAACTCGCTGTGCAGCTTTGCATTTAAAAAATATTAATTATACATATAATCTTATATTTTAATTTATAAATAATCTATTCATTGTGATTACTTAAATTATTGTCGATAGAATAATTTAATTATTTCCATAAAATCCTACTTAAAACACATTTTCCCTTAACATATCATTATAAATTAAACTTAAAGCAATAACTTTTTAAACAATTACTAAGAAAAATTCTCTTTAACTTATGACTAGTTTTAAACAATAAGTACGAAAAATTAACGCAATACTAAGTTTAGATTTAATGCAATCGCTGAAGAAGTCTACCTGTGGTAAAAAAATTAATTTTACATAATATATTATTAAATTTAGAAATATGTCATATTTTGAACATATATGCCAGCCAAAATACGATGAAAAACTCATTACAACTATTTAAAATATTTCTGGTGACTGGTGTAAAATAAAAATACAAGAAAAACAACATAACTATTCGGTGACACAAAATTGAAACAAATACCAATTATTGGACGATCAGTAACGGCATTCACCTCTGTTGACCAAACACAGGTAGCCCATAAAAGTATGAGTGTTCTATTCTTCATCACTTTTAGTTAGATTGTATTTTTAATATGAAAAGTTGCATTTACACGATCAAGACACAACTTCTATGACCTTGTTATACGATTGTAAGCTCAACATCCGTTCAATTTTGTGCTTGGCCCTAGCGTGAAAAAGTACCACCACTCATACGTTGTATATTAAAAAATAAAATAAACACGTAACTTACCATAGTGATTTAGTTTAAGGAGGATTGTTCTTTAAAAAAGTGTTTGCGTGAGAGCTAGTTATAATTTAAAGTATGGGAAAATAAATATGGAAAAAAAGGATTAAACACACATGTACGTTTCTTAACTAAAAAATACAAAAATTCGCTTGGCACATTTTCAAAAATGTTATTAGGATTTATAAAAATTTGGTTATAATATTACTTTATTTTTTGGAACTTTAATGATAAGTTAGTATGAAAGTAACTTCAAATCTAATAAAAAACACGCCTGTTTAATTTTGTGCAAAGCTTATCGAGGGCTAACTGTCCATAATTTAACAATAGACTAAACTGCCAACTCTTAAGCTACTCTATCAATGAAATTAAAACTGACTGTAACATTATAACACCCTCATGGCTAAAAGTGTGAACAACTGGAACAATAAAGGAAACAGGAAGAAAGTTTCCAACAGTTGCAGGAAAGTCAGCAGCAACTACAGGAAATTCAACAACAGTGGCAAGAAGTACAAATGG